CATTCAAAGTGGCCCCCGCCTCTCACATCGGCCGAGTTCATCTGCGCGCTCTCTGTCCGCGTGTACGTGCAGCGCCTGGCACAGCAGGGCCACGGGCTGGAGGCCACCACTCTCCTGGCTCTGCCAGCAGCTGGGGGCCCCGGGCAGGGCACGCTGACCTCAGAGATGAGCACCCTGGGCCGGGGGGGCGGCTGCAGAAGGAACAGCTTTGGGTCACTGCTGATGGGGTGAGCGCCACTGCCAGGGCAGCAGGCACGGTGGGGCACAGCTTGGACGGGCAGCGTGGGCGTACGGGAGCAAGGGGGAACGCAGGCTGGCGGTGGCAGCCGGGGCTACATGATTTTTTTTAAAAGGGCCGAAGTCGGCCATTTGCTGCACAGGCCGGTGCAGCTGCTCACGAGGGACCCTCCTAGCCTCGGGGTCTCCCTCTGGGCCGGGGGGGCTGCCAGAGCCCAGCGAACTCTGGGGGGGCTGGATGCACTCTACCTGTTGGCTTATGTTGCATGTGATTTCTACTGTCCTGCAGTAACCCCGTGGGTGGGCCTCAGTTTCCCTGGGCACTGCGCCAATAGCCAGATAGGGGTGGGCACATGGGGGTCACAGCCTCCCCCACATCCACAATGCTGGGGGGGAGGGAGTCTCATTGGCTTGGGGGGCAGGGCCTGTGGCTCTGGGCCCCTCTTCGTACTGACCGCTCCTGGTTCCTGCGCTAACAGGTCTGCCTGCGTTCTGTCCCCCTGGGCCCAAAACCCTCTGTTCTCCCTGCTGGCTGAGTCTCGTGTCTGGGTGGGGGTGCAGGGCCGTGGGCCTCCCCCCTCGGGGACACAAGGAAGGGAAAGTGCCGTTCCCTTCGCACACGGGCGGTGGGGCTGGGGCAGGGCTGGCACGGTGGCTGCGGAGCGGCTGTTGATGTTTATTTTCATTGCGAACCCTCCCAGAACTTACCAATTGTCCCCTTCCTTTGGCAGAGGGAGTGTTTTCCCGGGTTTCTCAATGCAGCGGAAATGCCCAGGGGCTGGTTTGGGACAAGAACAGCTCTGGCTTGTTCAGCACATGGGGGGCGGGGAGCGGAGCACGGGAAGACCTGGAGCAGGGAGCTGGTGGCCTGCAAGGAGCTGGCGGGTGGGCCCTCCCCTCGTTTCCAGCCTTGAACAAACGTCCCACCCACACCTGCTCCCTCCCAGGTGCTGGGGGGGCCCGTGTAATATCCGAGCAGGGTGCGGAAGGATCTCTGGCTGCAGCCGCCTCTTAGGCCCGCGTGTTGCACGCTCACCAGCGCGTGTGCGCACTGGGTCGGAACTGGTCAATTGGGGCAGATGTGGGGGAAAAGTCCTAGGAGCTCCCCTAACCTGCGTCTGGGCAGTGTGCTCACTGGAGAGTGAAAAGGGACCTTAAAAACTTCCCTCTCACCAGCTGGGCAGGCCTGCTGGGTCTCCATCCTGTGCGACTCCGTCTCCATTCGGAGCCAGTGACCCCAGCCTGTCTGTTCTCCATGTCCCCAGGTGTCTTCCTTGGGTGTCACCACCTTCAGCCTCTGCTCCCCGACAGGTTCCACGCAGCCACCAGCCCCCAGCTCAAGATGCGGCCGATCGAGCAGTGCCAATCCATCCTCGCCAAGCTGGCCGTCATCTGGGTGGGCTCCATGACGCTCTCGGTGCCGGAGATTCTCCTCTGGCAGCTGGCGCGGGACACGTCGCCGGTCTCAGGGCTGGTGACTGAGTACTGCACCATGAAGCCTTCCACGGCGCTGCCGGAGTCCGTCTACTCCCTGGTCCTCACCTACCAGAATGCCAGGATGTGGTGGTACTTCGGCTGCTACTTCTGCCTGCCCATCCTCTTCACCGTCAGCTGCCAGCTGGTGACCCGGCGGATCAGCAGTGCCGAGAAGAAGGCGGAGTGCCGCGGCTCCAAGCACGGCCAGTGCGAGAGGCAGCTTAACTGCACGGTCATCGGCCTGACGGTCATCTACGGCCTGTGCACCGTCCCCGAGAACGTCTGCACAGTGGTGGTGGCCTACCTGTCCCCAGACATGTCCAAGCAGACCTTGGACCTGCTCAGCCTCATCAACCAGTTCTTCTTGTTCTTCAAGTGCTCCGTGACCCCCGTGCTGCTCCTCTGCCTCTGCAAGCCGCTGGGCCAGGCCTTCATGGACTGCTGCTGCTGCTGCTGCGAGGAGTGTGGCCAGGACGTGGCCTCCAGCGAGGGCAGCAGCTCTGACAGCAAGCTGAAGACGGAGATGTCCTCTTCCATCTTCTTCGACAGGCCCAGGGAGCCGCCGCCCCCGATCCTGGCCCTCGGCACGCCTTGCTAAGCCCCGCGCACCCCGAGGGAGGCCGGATTGTTCCCTTGGCGTATCCCAAGACCAAACATTGTTAGTCTCAGTGTGTGCACACGAACCGACGGGCGGAGAGGGAGCAGGGCGTCTTCACGCCCACCGTGGGCTTGCTTGGTACCCAGCAAGGACGTTAGAGCCGTTGCCAGCTGATGTGGCTTCATAGTTCTCCTGCCTTTACTAGAGAGTCATCAAGGCCACCCGCATCTTCCTGTTGTGCTTCCCCGGCATGGCCCCTGGGGGTTGCTGACCAGGCTAAAGGGGTGTCTTGGAAAGGACCCGCCGGCAGCACTTCCAGGGCGGAGAGGTCCCCCAGTGTCTCCTAGAGGAGGTAGCAACTAGTAATCTCTCCGACATATCCTGGGGGCTCAGCGTCCTCCTTCTTCCCCAGACCCTCCTCCAAACGGGGGGGCAGCCGATGAAAAGCCTCCTGTAGGATCTAAACTCTCTCCTGTACGAGTACCGTGTCCTCAATAAATCGCTAACCTAGAACAAGGGCCTCCGGCGAGGCTGGTTCTTGGATGCCGTACGCCCGTCGCACATCAAATTGCCTGTGGGTGCCAGCCCACCTGGTCTGGCTTTAGACCAGCGCACTCCACGTGGTGCCTCCCTCCACTGTGGGCATGGGGAGCCAGTGGCCCGGGCTGGGGGGAGAGGGGCTGGCTAGAGAGGCAGGGAATCTAAGGGGCTTGGTCAGAAGGTGGGGAGCAGAGGGGTTTGGAGAGGGGGAGGGAAGTCCCAGGGGGTTGCAGGGAGCCCCGGCCTGGCCCGGCCGGCTGCTGCCCTAGAGCATAGGGCACAAGCTCCCTGTCTCGCCCCTCTCCTCTCCGCGCCAACAGAGCGTCCGGTAGCCTCCATATGGCACCTGAGCCTTTTGTGAGGCAGGGGAAGGAGCCGGGCCGAGCTCTGCGCAGCCTGGCTCCGGCTCCACCCGCTCCCTGGCAGCGCAGAACCACCAAGAACCTCCTTTGGCTGTTTCTCACTGGGCAGTGCAGGAGGCTGCTCTCGGTGCCCGCTGGCCATGCCCTGGAAAGACCCCCTTGCACGCCAGCAAGGAAAACAGTGACGCCCAGCGCATCCTCGTGCCCGCTCTCTGAGCCCGCTGGCCATGCCCGGGCAAGACCCCCTTGCACACCAGCAAGGAAAACAGTGACGCCCAGCGCATCCTCGGGCAGCCCAGCACAGGCTCCCTCGCCCCAGGTGCTGAACCCCCCTGGCTTGGCTCCCAGGGTTGCTCTTGGCCACCCAGACAAGGAGAGTTTTGGTTTTTTGCCCCAGGCTGGCAGGAGAACCGTGTCAGCCGCCCCGAGAACTAGCCCCCAACCACCCCCCAGCTTGGGTGGAGCTGCGGGCGCTGGGAGCCAACGGCTGCCCCAGTGGCACGGCCCAGCTCCCTGCACTGACCCGGTGGAGCGAGGCTGCGTTCCTGCCCCCTCTGCCGCAGCCCCGCGGGTCAGAAATCAGCCGGTCCCAGCAGGCCAGTGCAGAGGGGGCCGGGGGGAGGCCATGCGGCTTGCCCAGGGCTTCGCTTGGCGAACGCTCCAACTGCAAAGGGTTTTGACCCCCCTGCTGCCATCGCCCCAGCCCCAGCCGGGGACGCTTGCGCTGACCAGCCCCCGGCCCCACTTCCGGCTGGGGCCCCAGCTCCAGGAGGCTGTAAGTGATGGCACCCTCCAGCCGCCAGGCCTGCAAATTCACGGTTCAGGGGGCAGGCGCCAGCCCCCGGCAGGTTAGCGAACTGGCTCGGGACGCCTCCCCCGCCACACGGTGCGCCTGCCGCCAGGCCAGCGACAGAGCCTGTGGTCCCTGCCACGCTGGGCTGGAGACACCCGCTGGGTCGCCCTGGGCCTGGCGGAACCGGGCGGGCAACGGGGCCGTGGTGCCCTGGCTGCAGCAGCTGGGGACGTAAGCTCGTGGCCCCGGCTCAGGGATGTAAAGCTCCTTGTTCTCCGGCCTCGGCGGCCACCCCCGGCCCCTGAAATGCCGCGGGCAGAGGGAGGCGGTTGCTAAGGGATGGGCCGAAGCCCCAGGAGCTCAGCGAGGGCTTTGTCCAGGGAACAACACCCGCCCGGTTCCCCGTTGCCAAGGAGACAAAAGCCCCGGGCTTTGTTTAGGGCGCATGAGGTCCGACCCCCCCGCCCCGCTCGCTCCCACGGCGACCAGCGCTCACCACGCTCGCCGGCCCCTCATCCCCAGCGCATCCGGGGCCCTGGTGCTGGGGCCCCCCCTCAGGTCCTTCCAGTGGGACTCCAGGGGGCGCGGGGGCCACAGGCCGCCCGGGAAAGGCAGCACGGGGGTGCCGTGAGCACAGGCGACATGGCGAGAGGCAGCTGCCTGGCTGGGCCGTGCCCTGGGCGCCTCGCTAGCCCAGCATCCCAGCCGTGGCGTGTGTGTGTGTGTGGGGGGGGTCCTACCCTTCTCTAGCCCCCCACTCCCTTCCCAGAGCCAGGCTGCCCTGCATGGGGCGGAGAGGTAGACTGCTTCCCCCCCCCCACCAGGGCTGGTACAGGAGAGCTTTCCCCCATGCCCGGTCTGGCGGGTTCCCGGCTGGGGGCTGGGCCAGCTGGCTGGGGCAATGCAGGAGGAAGGCTGCCGGGCGGGGGAAGCTGCCTTCGTGGTTCTGGCTGTGCTGGCTTGGCCTGAGCCGGGGCCAGGGGAACAATGCAGGCCTTGTCTGGGAGCTGGGCTGGCCGCGGGAGGCTGGGAAAAGCGGGGAGGGGAGGGGCAGCCGAAGGCCGGGTGCGGAGTGGCTGCCGTGTGCAAACAGGGCTGCCATCTGCCTGCGGGGGCCCTGGGGCAGGAGGCACTTGCCCCAGCCCACCAGCGGAGGGCAGAGGAAAGGCCCCAGGGGCTGAGTGGGTGCAGGATGGAGAACAGGAAGGGACCAAAGCCAGCACCTGTGGACCTGGCTTTGCCTGGCCCCAGAGCATGGCCCCCTCCCATGCCCTGGGCTCTCATGGCTAACCCCACCCAGTAGGGCAGTCAGGATGGGGGGGTGTCACACTCCACTTCCCCACCTTGTTCCTTCAGCCCCTGGAGCCCACGGCCACACCCCAGGCTCAGGCACAGTGCCCCC